AAGACTTTTGAGATAAATTATTCCTTGACCTGAAACGGATTTCCATCAGCCTTCAATAACAACAGCCAAGAACAAAAACAGCTTTATTTCCCCCATTCGGTCTCAATGCAAATACCGTATTTGTGTTTAACTTATTTAAATAAAAAAGGGGGTGGGGGGAGGGGGGGGGGGGCTACCTCCTGAGATAACTACAGAGTTACTGACATTCTGATTAATTCTGATTAGTATCATTCTGATTTAAGGAAGCTTTTCTTTAAGAAAATCTTAGATTGGATTCTTAAATCCCAAAGAACCCGAAAACGGATTTTGCGTTTCTTTATTAAACAGATCAATCCAAGATCTCTCCGATCATGGTGCGTCAAAGGAAACGAAGAATCCACACCGGGTTTAATAAAGAAACGCAAAATCCGTTTTCGGATTCTTTCGGATTTAAGAATCCAATCTTGGATTTTCTTAAAGAAACGCACCCTTAGTTTTGCCTCCACATGCGTAGTGTACTTTATAGTATATAATTCTCGCCCATAAACCATTTCATTATAAATATGCGGTTTAACAACCTAGCGGGTAATTAAATAAAACGTGTTTCTCATTTGATTCGATTCAGGCCCACAAATTAGAACCTGTGCAAGAAAACGGCTCACACACCAATCCTGTTACTGAGGTACGAAATCACCCTAGTGATGTTATACTTGACATTTACATATTAGCTTGAGTTAACATCTTCGATCCAAAATTCATCGTTTCCCTTATATGTAGAAATATACAATTAACACATTTTCTCCAGTTAATATGTAATCCAATTTCCTATGTTATCATATGGCAGCAAATCTACTTTCGACACGTTATCGTTTTCTTGTGTTTTAATTCGATCGAAACTTAACGATTAATTTTCGTGTTCATTTTACAGACCTTCACAGAAGAACTGAACAGTCCTCTTTCTGAGACTCAAACAACTATAAGCCCATGGAAAGAGACACGAGACGTCGAAGAGAAGAAACAGTGCCCTCGATGTTTCGAATCAGGCAGAACAAAGATCCAAAACTACTACACAAGTTTCAAGAGTTTTTTGGCCAAGAACGACCTCAGCTATTTCATAGAGATGTCCTCTCGTGTTTTCTTTCCTCTCACGTATATAGCATTTATTGCATACTTCTTTGGGAAATATGGCATCTGAAGATGTGCTTTACTGGGCGTTTCTCTAGTAATATGAATAAGTTATATTAACTGGTCCTCGGAAGACATTACTTCTAACAACGTTCCTTGAAAAGTTCATCTGTGGATGGGATGTGGTCGTTTAAGTGAAGTGGTAGGAGACTTGATGTTTAAAGCCTATTCCGAGAGCAGACATGTCGATGCTACGGTTTGCGAAAATTCAGCTTTCGCCCGTCCTCTTCTGGGCAAAACGATGTCCTCAGGGGGTACTTATGGGCATACAGCGTAGACGTGTACCCAATCCGAACGTACATAATGTCCAAACACTCGGTTGAAAGCCACTCAAATCTGGAGTCCAAAGCTCAGATTGGTGGTTACCTGAAAAAGCTCGAATTAGCCTATCAGGCAGTAAAAAGCCAAGAAGGGAAGCCACCAGAAAGTAGGATTGAAGAGGGTGCCTTAGGCGGGTGGAAATAAAATGAACGATATGGACAATATAATAATGAACAAATTCAGTTGAATAGTGATGCGAGTGAGGCATTGGACCTCTTGACACTGTAACTGACCAGCTGCAGTAAACACCTCGCTCGATTCATGCATGCAGGACCTCGCTCCTACTGATACATCCTCCTACTGATACTTTGTTTACTTGAAGGGGCTCAGTCACGGTATTTTGACCACGTAAAAAATGACCTTTAAATTGAAGGAAACCTGAAAATAGTACTTGACTAAGATAGAAAAACAGCATAGAGATAATAATATACAAAAACGGAACAAGGACGGTTAAGGATGGAGAAGATTGACGCGGATTATGATCTACGAATTTGAAAAATTTAGGCCAAGCTTTTCAAGATGCGCAAACCTTGACGTAGCTCCTTTACGCAAGATGCCAGAATTTCTCCAAGACATGGTTCATTTCGAGTGTTTTAGCCAGCTTTCATTATAACGTGTTATTTTTAGCTAAGGAGAAGCCGGATTAGCCATGTCACCTGATCCTTTGCATGGCTCTTCGCGTTACGCGTTTACCACGACGTCAGTGTGCCAGCCATAGGCAAAAGGTACAATAATGAGCCCTGCGCAAGCCAAGATGTGTCAAATTAACAAATTGACGTCAGTTTTTTTATGCGTCTGTCCTCTTATTTATGATAAATTGCGTCATAACTTTGTCAAAGTGGCTGTGTAGCCACGAGCCGCAGGCGAGTGGTTCCGCAGTAATCTTTGACAATGTTATGAGGAAATTTATCATCAATGAGAGGACAGACGTATAAAAAACTGACGTCAATTTGTTTTTTACAACAACAAGACGCCAAACTGGTTAAATGCCGGGAATAAATGAGGGGAAAAGACGCCGTAAATTTGCCGTAAACAAAGATAAGTGAATTTTATTAAAAATGACGCGAACATTGTCAATAGCTTTTCTCGCTTTTTGATTGGCTACTTAAAAAAGTCCATAAAATCTCATTGGTAAAACACTTGACAGTTTGACAGCTGAAAGTTCAACTTGAAAGCTAGCGCTTGCATAAATTAAAATCTTATCCGTCTGTACTCTTATTGATGATAAAAATGAGCCAATCAGCGCGCGAGAAATTAGACAGTAATTGTAAAACATGTAATTTAAGTGCAACGATTAGTTTTCTATGTAGAAAGGTTTTCCAACTTTGATACCTATCGACCTTTCAGTCGGTCCGTTCCTTGACTCTGGCATTATAGCAGGAAATTGAGTCAACATGCATGCAAACCCGGCAAAACGTGCATTTGTGGACTCGATGCTTGCATGCATCCCTTTACTTCTGCCTTACTTCCCCTTTAACTCTGAAACAATCCAAAGTGCTTGCATCGAGGGCTTGCATGCATTTCCTTTACTTCTGCCTTACTTTTCTTTCAACTCTGAAGCAACCCTAAGGGAGGGGAGGGGGTGGATTTTTCTTTATCTAGCATCTTTTGTGGTAGGAAAAATGTTAGAACATGAACCATTTTTTCGGTTCTCAGATACTTCAAGACACCGCAGGCCTAAGGCAGATCACTTGTACAGCATTGTAAATAGGATAAAAATAAAGATATCTATCAAAGAGTAGATCTTGCATGAAATCAGCTGAAATTAATGCTATGTAAAAAGGCTCAGTGTTAGCATTAAGTTCAATAAACCAAAACTACTTTAGTGTATATATATTCTGTGATTTCCTTCGTTCTGGTATAACCAGTGAAGTCCACATTCTTTAAAAAGCACTCGAACATCATTCACGGACAAGGCGCGTAATCTTGCAACACACAGGGGTACCTGATGCGGGGACATGAAGTGGGAACATGAAACGGGGACCTGAAGCAAGGACATGAAACGGGGATATGGCAACGGCTATGTTGCATAATCTTGCAACACATGGACATGATGCGGGGGCATGAAGCAGGGACATAACGCGGGACATGAAGCGGGGACATGAAGCGGGGACAACGTGAAGGTGGGGCATTAAGCAGGGAGATGAAGCAGCCACATGAAACGGGACATGAAGCGGGGTCATAAAGAGGGGATATGGCAACGGCTATGTTGCATAATCTTGCAACACATGGACATGAAGCAGGGACATAAAGCAGGGCATGAAGCGGGGCAATGAAGGACAGACATAAAGCGGGGATATGACAACAGCCATGGTGCGTAATCTTGCAACACACAAGGGGACATATGCGGGGCATGAAGGAGGAAGATGAAGCGGAGCATGAAACGGGGCCATGAAAGAGGGACATGAAGAGGGGATATGGCAACGGCCATTGCGAGTAATCTTGCAACGCACAAGGGGACATATGCGGGGACATGAAGCAGGGACAAGTAGCGGGACATGAAGCGGGGACTTGAAGGAGGGACAAAGGAGGGACATGAAGAAGTGATACGGCAACGGCCATGGTGCGTAATCTTGCAACACACAAGGGGACATATGCGGGGGCATGAAGCGGGACATGAAACGGGGACATGAAACGGGGACATGAAGCGGGAACATGATGCAGCGGCAGTTTTCCTTGTGCAACATGCCCGTTTTTGCCCAAAGTGCTGTTGCATAAAATTCAGTTGATTTGAATTTGGGCGTCATAACGCTGGGACAAAATAAACTAAATTTTGAATGTTGTATCGTGTGCATTGCTCTTGCAAAGGAAGGAGAAGGCAAAGCTTGAATCCATGCAGCTATACTTAAGCAACTTGACCACACGTAAAGGGGACCAGAGGGGGCATTCTGATCCCCGCCCACCCCTAGTACTGGCTATATAAAAAGAAACAGAAACAGATATTGATTATGGTGACAAAACTTGGATCGCAAGGAAGACAGAGCCGGACGTCTATAGGGGAGCCTATGTCAGGTTGTTACATATGATGGACCAGAAAAGGGGGGTGCCCTTCTGGGAGGACAAAGCGTCGGATGACACGATGATACCATCCTGGAGAGTTCCGGACCTATCGCCGCGGGTGACCATGGCCCTTACTTTAGGGCGAAGTCCAGCCAAGGATGAACTTCCCTGCCACCAGACCTATATTGACTAGGCAACTGTAAATACCTAACAGTAAGAAAAATATTCCAACAACTGCTTACATTGTGTAGAAGGGGGACGGGGGAGAAGGCAAAGCTACCAATTTAGAGAGAGAGTGGGGGAGGCAGAGAACAACTTAGCTTGACGAGTATTTTACAACTGAGACGGTAGGGTCAGAAATGACGGGACGTTGGCAGGGAGTTTAGGTGGGGCAGAAAATGCCATGATCACATGAAACCCCGAGTGGAAAACCACTGGGAGCAGTTATACGAGTTTTCATACAGAAAAAAAAAATTTACTGTAGTTATAAAATGAGTCCGACCTACTGCACAATAGCCGTGAGTTCGCAGGACTATAGCAACGACTCAATATATAATGCTTTTGATGTGGAGCAGAGAGCCCATTAACCACAGCGTAAATACTTAAACTTCTTATTTAACCAAGTATAATGCGATTAATAAAACTTTGGTTAAGCACTTTTTTTTCCAAAATGAGAAACTAAGTGATGAATTATTTTCAGTCCACAAGGTTTTAATTAGGGTAGGTTAAATAATGAACCGTCAAGAACGTTGCACTAAATTGCTTACTACAATTAATTTCTACAATTATCTCGAAGGGCTTAGTTTTTGTTTGTTATAGCGTCTGAAGAATTCACCTCCAGGCATGTTTAAATGGAGCAAATATCAGTTGAGCAAGAAGCTATAAGCTGCACATTGACTGCTGCATGTAAGCTGCACATTGACTGCTCCTCGGGCATATGAAGTTGCTACAGGTTATTTTGGAAGAACCTTTCCCTAGGCTGAGATTAACCCAAGTTTAAGAACATACAAGAAACACACCCCAGGCTGACAGTCACTAGGGAAAGTTTGTTTTGACACCTCTTTGAAAGAACAGTATGCAGCGCTCCGATAAATTGAAGACTTGGGTCACCAAACACATTTAGGGACATATTTAAGCACAACTGATGATAAAAAATAATAAATGATACAAAAGAGACAAAACAAAACAAAAGATGAACTATTCTTATTGTATGGTTCATTTCAAAACATCTTCATTTGTCTGTAGTTTTTACATTCATTAACCATTAACTTATGACAGACTTGATAAAAACATAATGGATTGGAAATGGTTACTACTTAAGAACATCTGAAGAACGTTTCAGGGTTAAATGGCCACCCTAGATCCGCCACTGCAGACTTTCAAAGAGAATTGACTCGTTTAGTGATACTCGGTCTCACAAGAGATTTGGACTGTTTCAAATAGTTTCAGTTTCAGAATCTTGCGTCAGAGAAGAAAAATCCCAATTGTGAATTTCCCAGTAAATATCTCAAAGCTAACTGAAAAACCAGGAATAATAGTTAACCATTCATGAATGTTTCCAAAACGAGAAACTGATTGATACATTCTTTTCAGTTCACAAGTTTTTAATTAATGCGATTAGGCAGAGAACCGCGAAGAATATTCCTCTAAATGACCCAAATTGCCTTTCCAGGGGGTGTTAAGACGAGGTAAATATTGAGCAAGACAACACCTGTTTATGTAAACTGCATATCGGCCGCTCCTTACGTCGGCTTAAATGTGGAGTTGCTACACTTTCATTTTTCTAAGGTTGTGTCCCTTTTGTACATCAATGATTAACCAGTCTGCAACTTCAAAAATGCGCGGCATGCATGCTAATGTATCTACTTAATATTGTTTATTTCCGTCAAATCAATAGGCCTATTAGTCCGCAGCTAATTAGTTTTCTTTTTGATTCCTTGAAAGGGCGAAATATAAACTACAATATCATAATCAACTTGAATTGGAATTCAGGGAAGTCACGCATTGTTTAGGCAGCGTCAAGAAATGTTCCTTCAATGCACACTCTCCGGCCTTACTTTACAGACTTCAAGACTGAAAACTGCAGAACGAGTGAAAGGTAAGTCGGACATTTTCTCAGCGCAGAAACTTGTATAAAGTTATAACCTGCTGAACAAGTGTCAAAGCTTCCGTCAATCGGAGCAAGGCCAGTCTCCGACACTTTATATGCTGCGGTTAGGCCCTATTTTCGTTGAGATGTTAAATACGTCCTTGATCAATACTCAAGGCGGGCCGTTAATCCCATAAACGCAAATATTAGAGACCCGGAAGTAATCAGCTTTGTCTTCTAGACTGCGCTTATGAAATGATAATACATGAACGCTCCTCGTTAATATCAAGGGAAATGCACGAAACAATAACGCGCGTTTGACTGATCGGCTAAATGTGGGTGTTGCCATTCTGAGGGCCATGCTTATTACCGCCTTGTTCTACTGCAAGTGGGATTCTGCCACCGAGTCAGACTCACGGAAATATGTTAAATCCGAAGTCAACATTCAACTGCTCTCTACTTGCCTTGTGAAGAATTTTATCATAAACACTGATAAATCAACTAAGATCAAGACAGTTATCCATTGAAGATCGATTGTTTAATTCCTAGTGCTTTATACCGATATTGTGGTAACAAAACAGCTGTCCATCACTTAGATACCGTGCTAAAAGCGGGGTTGCCGACATATCACGACATGCGGTTTGATTTATCTACCATCTATTTGCCCTCATCAAAGAGATGATTCTTGCAAATAACTTTGTCTCAGAGGTAACCAACAGGTACAAAATA